TGCCAGCGGCTGGAGTTGGACCGCTGCAAGGGACTGGCGCAGCAGCTGATAGCGATAGACGGCAGCTATCTCAGCCGTTGTCATGCCGCCCAAGGTTAGCAGGTGAGTCAGCTCTGCCAAGCTGCCCCCTTTGCCCCAGGGTCCTCTCTTGGCTCGAATCTTGAAAGATCGATCGTGCACGATGCTCACATGTACAGCTGTGAACTTGCGACCATCGATCGCGAAGTCCTCTCTTCCCTGCCAGAGCTTCTCCGCTTGTGCATTGCGGAGGAAGGAAACAGTCACCGGGATCTCCTCAGCACTCGCTATCTCGGGTCTATACGGAGCCTTCCACATGATTGCTTTACTCTCTTGCACTGAGTCTACGATCAGTCCGATCTCTTCAAATTTCTTCTTCAGCTTTTCTTCATGGTTGACATACACCGAGGAGATGCCCAGGAGAGTCATGGAGATGAAGGAAGTCACCTCGTTGCCTGCTGAGGCGGTGTATGTCTCGACCTTCTCCTTCTTGGCTTCTTCAATCTGCTGCATAAACCACTCTCTGGATGCGTCACTCCATCCAGTCATCGCTTCTTGCAGAAACTTACGTCGTGCCTGCTGACATGTCGAGCGGATGGCTTCTGCGATAGCGTCGGGGGTGCATCCCTCCACAGCCTTGCAAGCCTGGGCTGTCCTGCTGTTCGGATAACGCTTCGCGAAGCTCTTCACCCTCTCGACGAGATCAGCTTCGAGGACAGAGGCATCCACAAGTCCGCTCTGCGTGTATTGGCATGATCTCCGATACAGCAGGTTGCGAACATTTTCATCATACTGAAGAACCATACTTAGAAAGCTATTTGAAGTATACAAACCTCTTGCTTGCAGCTTCCTTGGCGCCCTGGCGGCTTCCCCTACACCTGACGAGGAGCCATGCTGCCGAAAATAACGGCGCCTGCCGAAAATAACGGCGCCTGCCGAAAATAACGGCGCCTGCCGAAAATAACGGCGCCTGCCGAAAATAACGGCGCCTCCTAAACCCTAAACCCTAAACCCTAAACCCTAAACCCTAAACCCTAAACCCTAGTAGTAGTAGTAGTAGTTGAGTTTATTAGAATGCTAGGTAGGTTGAATGTTTTCATCTTGCTCTATTCTAGTCTAACACCGCCGGGATCTCGTGACCTGGCAGTTCGGCCCGACTTGGCTGGCCCCTACGGCAGCCGTGCTTCTGCTCTGCTCCCTCCTCTGATATACTTCAGTGGTCTCCCCCGGCCTCAGCCAGTGGAGTTTCCTCCGCTGGCCTTGGCCTGGGTCGTCCGTGCTTTCAACTTGTGTTGCTTCCTCGGCTCCGACACACCTTGGCGGTCTCGGCCGGCCTTCGGCCAGTGAGTGAATGAAGGATGAGGTGGTAGGTGGAATGCGTATGGGTCCCTGGGACTCACGTCCCTTCCCCGGGGCCTCGGTCCGGACCGGGCCCGAGAGCCCGGCCGGCTGGCCTCCGCCCGGCCTCCTCCTC